AAATGAACTGACAGTATCCAGATTTTAAAAAGGACAGCCAAATAAATTGTGTGCAGAGTAACAGGCCCTCACTGCACTGCCTGAGCTTCCCTCAGCCATCAGATAGCCTTCTTTGTACATCAAGTTGTTTATTCACAGTGACTGCATACTTGGGTTCTGAAAGCTGTTCTTTTGGAAGACAGGAAGAAAAGAGAAGAGAGAAAAATTTAGAGGGTATTGTGATATCCACTTATAATCCTAGCACTTGGGAGTCTGAGGCAGGGGAGTTGCAGTGAGTTCAAGGCCAGTCTTGGATATGTAGCAAGACTTCATCTCACAAATACTTTGTTTTTCAAATAGATTAGTGAAGTACATTAGTCCCCCTCCCTAAGATCCCTGTACTGCCTGAGTCTGTGAATGGATGGAGGCCAGAGGTCAACAGCAGGTGTCCTCCTCTTTGCTCTGCATTTCATTTTTTAAAGGATTTATTTGTTTTTGTTTGTGGATGTTTTGTCTGTACATTGTGTGTATGCAGTGCCTATAAAGACCAGAAGAGAGTGTCCTCTGGAGCTGTAATTCAGAAGATTGTTATCTGAAAGTGGTGCTGGGAACCCGCGTCCTCTGCAGGATCAGGAAGTGCTGTTAGCTGCTGAGTCTCTCTAGTCCCTTCGCTTTATTTTTGGAAATTAGGTGCCTGCTGCAGTGCTTGCCTGTAAGCTGGGCATTGAACTTAGGTCCTCATAGTGGCGTGGCAAGTACTAACAATTGAGCCATTTCCCTGGGCTGATTGGAGGAAAAGTAGAACAGGTCAAAATTCCCTAAAGTCTAGGCAGCTGTAAGTACAGGTCAGGACTGAAGAAGAGAGTGCTGAATCCTAATACAATTCTAGCTTTCTTTTCTTTTTTCTTTCTTTCTTTTTTTTTAAGATTTCTTTATTTATTATGTATACAGCATTCTGCCTGCATGTATGCCTGCACACCAGAACTCATTATAGATGGTTGTGAGCTACCATGTTTTTGCTGGGAATTGAACTCAGGACCTCTGGAAGAGCAGCCAGTGCTCTTAACCTCTGAGTCATCTCTCCAGCTCCCAATTCTAATTTTCTAATCCCTTAAGTGAATTTTTTTAATGTCAATTTTTAAATACTGTTTTTAAGGTAGTTATAGCACATAGGAAGTTGCAAAAAAGTACAAATATTAGATTTATGGGAAGTTGCAAAACCTATACAGAGAAATCCCCCATACCTTGTACCTGGTTTTCCTGCGATTACACCTTGGTGGTAGTACTGTATCAAAATCAGAAAGTAGTGTCTAGACATGCATGTCTGTGTAGTTCTGTGATGTTATTGTGCATGCATGTCCATGTAGTTCTGTGATGGTTATTCTGCATGCATGTCTGTGTAGTTCTGTGATGTTTATTGTGCATGTATGTCCTTGTAGTTCTGTAATGCTTTATTGTACGTGCAAGTCCATGTAGTTCTGTGGTGTTTATTGTGCATGCATGTCCATGTAGTTCTGTAATGCTTTATTGTGCATGATGTCCATGTAGTTCTGTAATGCTTTATTGTGCATGCATGTCCGTGTAGTTCTGTATTGTGCATGCATGTCCATGTAATTCTGTATTGTGCATGCATGTCTGTGTAGTTCTGTAATGTTTTATTGTGCATGCATGTCCGTGTAATTCTGTAATGTTTTATTGTGCATGCAGACCTATACTACTTAGATACCCGAAACAACTCTCCATGTTGCAACTTTCCTTCCTGCTGTCCCTTTCAGCCATACCTGTCCCCTACTGCCGGCATCCTGCCTTCCTCAACTGCTCCTCTCTGGAATCTCTTGACTCTTCCTAAGGACGCAGGATTACTCTTTACTATTAATCGGGGTTTCCAATTACATTTTTCCTATGGCGGTTGCTCAATTTGAAGATCTTAAACCTTCTGTTTTTCTTTATTGGTGTTGACAAATGAACCCAGGGCCTCACTCAGGCTGAGCCGCCAAGCTAAGTCCCCAGCTACCCTCTTTGTCTTTACTCTGACCCTCCTTCCTTTCTGTCTTAAAAAAAAATTATTGTGGGTGTGCGCGCACACGTGTGTGCATGCTCATGGGTGTACACACACTTAGGTGTGTGCATGCGCATGGGTGTACACACACTTAGGTGTGTGCATGCCACAAGCATTTGTGGAAACTAAAAGACAGCTTGCGGGCTTTTCACTATGTGAGGTTGAACTCAGGTCCAGCAGCAAGCAGTTTTACCTACTGAACACCTCCCTCCCCACTTTACCTACTAAGGATACCCCGACCCTCACTTTTGAAGTTGTTGCTTTCGGTTACCTAATGGCATTCTCTTGAGATAATTTGTATTTGAGATTTTGTTGTAGTTTTTTTAATCTCTTTGTCTCCAGGGTCCTCTTTTTGGATGCCTTACTTTGCCCCCACCCCTCCACACACACATTATGTAACTGAGCCATAGGAAGGTTAATTGTTATCTTTAACTTCTTGGCCATTTTCTTAAATTGCTATTTTCTTAAGTCTCTTAAGATTCCTGTTATTTAGATGTTAACACATGGATTCTTAGTTAATGCCAAATTAATATTTTTTTGAGTTTTGCCAAGTGGGTGTTGTATTAGTCAGTGTTCTCTCGAAGAACAGATAGAATGAATCAGTCTATTTATCCATCTATCAATCCATCTCTATCTAGAAAGGGTATTTATTAGCGTGGCTTACAGGCTATGGTCCAGCTAGCCCAACAATGGCTATCAATGGAAAGTCCAAGAATCCAGTAATTGTTCTGTCCATGAAGCTGGACGTCTCAGCTGGTCTTCAGTATATGCAGAGATCCCCCAAAAAAACAGGCTTTAATGCCAGTGAAGGAATGGACTTGCCATTGAGAGTGAGGGTAAGCAGGCAAAGAGCATAGTTTCCCTCTTTTATGTTCTTTATATAGGTTGCCAGCAGAAGGTGTGGCCCAGATTAAAGTGGGTCTTCCCACCTAAAGATCTGGATTAACGGTGGGTCTTTCCATGTCAAATGATTTAATTGAGAAAAATTTTTCACAAGTCTGCCTAGTTGCTTAGGTTTTAGTTAATCACAGATGTAGTGACGTTAACACAAGAATAGCCATCACAAGTCCACCATTGTCAGCTTGACACAAATTACATCTCCTTATATCATGCTTAATTTCCAAATAAAATAACAACCAGGTAGTAATTACACCTAATATGATATAGCTATCCCACATACAAATGCAGATACATTATAAATTTTAAAATAGGTGGTAATGTCCTTTGATGAACATTCTTTTAGTATCTCAGAAACTAAATATAATAGCCACTGATACTCTCCTAATTGATGTTATACTATATGATAAATCAAGGAAAATACACAAATATCTGCACAAACACAAAATATGACACCATAATAACTTTTCTCATCTAAGAGTACTGATGACATCTTTCTTTCTCAGATTTATTTTGTTGTCTATCCAAAGGGTTCTTTTCCTTTTTTCATGTGGGTCTTTTCTTTGATGCCTTTTTGCTGTATTATAGAAACCCTCTGATTGACTTGAAATCTGTGGACAGAAACTCTCCTTTAAAAGGTGGCATACATTAGCCATGTGTATGTGCTTCGTTAATATTCAGTAAGGTATGGAGGTAGTAATCCTAATTTTGAAGCAGTGAGGAAGAAGTGATACTTTTAAGCTACCTCTACTAGTTGTAAAGTGATAAAAAATATGTGATTTCTTTTGTATGACTTTGCAGCCAGAATTTATAATTATAAATGACTCACTTATTTTATTTTTTATTTTATTTGGATGGATGTTTTGCCTGAATCCACATCTGTATACAACTTGAGTGCTTGGTGCCCACACAGGCCAGAAGAGGGCAGTGGATCCCCTCGAACTGGATTTACAGATGGTTATGAGCAACCATATGTGTGCTGGTTATCAAACCTACGTCCTCTTTAAGACCAGCAGGTGTTCTTAACTGTTGGGCCATCTCTCCAGCCCAGACTGCCTCATTTCAATTAGAGGGCACTAGTGTAAAAATTTTTTTTTTTTAAAAAAAAGAAAGTTTAATATAAGATCTTGAGCCATTTGAATTCTATTCTTAAATCATTGGTGTTCTCATGGTCTTTTTATTAGAGGTATCTTCAAATATCTGAAGTCAACAACTGTCAGGTCAAAGAATGATATGTATAAAAAGCTAAATTGTGGGTTTGGGAGTTGGCTCAAAAGACCTTACGTTGAATCCTCTGCACCCCTGTAAAATATCAGACCAATAGCAGATGTCTGTGAAGCTCAGCACTTACTGGGTTATGGGAAAAGGGACAGGTGGGACTGGGGCTGGGGATGGATGGCTGAGGCCAAACCAGGCTGGCTAAAATGGGAGCTCCAGGTTCACTCAGAGACTCTTTCAAAAAGTGAGAAGGAGAATGACTGAAAAAGACATCCAATGTTAGCAAACCCATAAACATGTGAACACACATACACCACACCATACATGGATAAAAAGAAAGAAAAAGCTGATTGTGGAGCTCTGAATGACTGAATGGGTTTGATATACTATTTATTATGTGTTATGGGATATTCAACTTTAGTTATCTCTCAGAGAGCATTCCTTCATATTCTGCCTATGAAATTTAAGTTTGCCTATAATCTTTTTATGTTCGAGACAGGGTTTCTCTGTAGTTTTTGGTGCCTGTCCTGGAACTAGCTCTTGTAGACCAGGCTGGCCTCAAACTCAGAGACGCCTGCCTCTCCCTCCCAAGTTCTGGGATTAAAGGCGTGCACTACTACCGCCCGGCTGCCTATAATCTTTAGATAGTAGTTTTATGCATATAATCTAATAAAATTTGTTTTTAGTTTTTACAGAATAATTAGTATTGTTAAACATTCTTATTGGCTCTTCCAGAAAAGAACACATGCAGACTTTAATGTTTAAGTTCCCTAATAATGATTAAAAAAAAAAAACTGAGCTATTTCTTACAGTTAATTTATACTTAATTTTTATTTTAATCTTCTAGGAGCTTTCAAGTTGTGGATGGAATAAAAAAGAAAAATATAGTTCTGCACCGAATGCAGTTGCTTTCACAAGAAGATTTAATCATGTGAGTTGTGCTTATGGGTGAAGAGAGGCGTGGCTGTGCCTGATCGCCATACCCTGTGGGAGCCAGAAAGTAGCATCTAGTGTCTCCTCATATTGAACTTCATCACCACCACCCCATTTTTAAGACACCCTCTCACTGATCTTGAAGCATATGGATTGACTGTACTGGCTGACCAACAAACCAGCTAAGTCCTCCTGTCTCTGCAGACCCTGGCACCCCTTCTCCAGCTCTGCCTACCAAGCTTTTTACAGAAATGCTTGAGGTGCAAACTCAGGTCTTCATGTTTGTGCAGCTGAGCACTTTACCCGCTGAGTCATCTTCTTGGCCCTTCCCTTGTTTGATTTGAGGCAGGGTCTTGTGTTGTTTAGTCTAATTCTGCTTGCTGTATAGCTGAAGATGACTTTGAATTCCTCATCCTCCTGCTTCTGCCTCTTGAGTGCTAGGATTATAGACATGTGCCACCATGCCTAGGTTCGTTTTTTATTTTTAATACTTGTTTGTTTGTTTGTTTACTTATTTATTTTGTCGAGACAGAGTTTCTCTGTGTAGTCCTGGCTGTCCTAGAACTCACTCTGTAGACTAGACTGGCCTCGAATTCAGAAATCCTCCTGCCTCTGACTCCTGGGTTCTGGGATCAAAGTTGTACACCAACCACACCCAGCTCTCAGTTTTTATTTTTCTAACTTCATGATTTTCATAGATTTGTCAGAAATAATTGTATTTATATAAAAAAATTGTATGGTTTACTTTTCATCTTTGAAAATGTGCCATGGCATATTGTAGAAGTTCTGCGGCCTTTTACATTACATTCATGTGGTGTGGGCAGATCCAATTCATTTAATCACTGATTTTTAGTGCTTCCTAAACTAAATCCATCTGTGCTCTCGATGACAGGATGTTTTCTGAATGTTTGCCTCTGCGAAGAGATTGCTGTGAGTACTGGTCTCTGGCTGCACGTGTGCAGGATGCTCCAGATAGTGACTTCTAACTGCCCCTACCTTCAGTTCTTGTGTTTTATCACCCAAATTTGAATCCTTACCACTAGGTCTTTCTGGTTTTTAAATTTTGGTGTTTTGTTTTTCAAGACAGAGATTTCTTTTTGTAGCCCTGGCTGTCCTGGAACTCACTCTGTAGACCAGACTGGTCTCAGACTCAAAGAAAGCACTTTAATCCAAGAGTCCACCCCATTTGAGGTCGTTCGAAGGTGGATTCTCATTTCATCATTTTTATTCACAGTTTGGAATCCCTGGTATGATGCTTTGAATGAGGATGGCACTCTTAGGTCCATATGTTTGAATGCTTGGTCTCCTGTAAACAGATCTGTTCAGGAAGAATTAGAAAATGTGGCCTTGTAATAGGGAGTGTGTCAATGGGGGTAGGTTTTGAGATTTCAGAAGTACACACCAGGCCCACTGTGTGTTTCTGCCTGCTGCCCAAGCACCATGCCTGCCTGCTTTCTGCCTTAATAATGGACTAACCCTCTAAAACTGTAAGCAAGCCCCAATGCTTCAAAGTCTTGGTCATGGTGTTTGCTTCACAGCAGTAAAACAGTGACTGAGACACTTGGGGCTGGTGGGTTTACCTAGATACCCATCTTAAAGGAAGCACAGAAGGTCCTGAGGTCATCATCATCATCATTAGTAGTTGTAAAAATAATGAGTGACTTGGTGTTCCATCTTCTTCAGAGAGTAACCAAGTAGTTTTCTGTTTCTGCCTTGCCCACTTCTCCCCCCGGTTGTCACACTAACCCATTTTTACCCAGTAGGTGGTGTTCCAGCTCTCTCATTGAGATCCCAGGAACTCACTGATACTTGAGGTTCTCAGGACTGGTTTTTCCTTTGACTCTTTTGTAATATATCTACATGTCCTTTCTCCTGGACTCTTGGTTCTAGCGTTCTAGAAACACAGACCTGTAGTCTAGTCGCTTGCCTTATCCTGTGTATCAAACCACAGTCTTAAGAATAGTAATAGCTGAATATTCCTAGTCTGAAAGTCCAAGCCTGAAATGCTGAAAATTGCACCGGTGTGACACCATGACTTGTTCCTGACTTCATGTGATAGGTCACAGTAAGATATAGGTGCATTCCACAACTGTTGAATAAAATTGCCTTTTAGCTCGGTGTATAAGATGCATATGAAACCTAAGCAAATTTAGTGTTTAGATTTGGGTCTCATTTCCAAGACATCTTGTGTTTATACAAATACTCAAAAAACCTAAACAATTATTTTGAGTAAGGTATGTTCAACCTGTACTTACAGGCAGCCAGCACCGTGACTGAAAACCGTAGATTTGCAGGCGCTCTCTCTGTCCCCATTGTCTCTGTGCTGTCTGAGCGTGTTGGCGTTGTGGGGTGCTCTGTTTGTGTTTTAGTTCTGTGAACAAGTATGTAGAGCTTACTCACACTAATGTTGATGCCTGTCGTCATTTTTATTGTCCAAAACTTGCTCTCAGGTAGCTCATTGGATAGTACTGCCTCGGTTCAGACATGAAAGCAAATTTGCTTGTGTTCTTTATCGGTAAAAACTGACTTTATTGGATAAAAGATCCTTGATTCTATTTTCTTTGATTTTTTTTCCTATTTAGAGTGTTCGTGGCTATTGGAGAGTTGGATGATAATCTTTTTCTTTAAAAATAATTTTCTCTTTTTGTTTAGATAACCATAGGTGGTTTATTTTTTCAGTCTAATTGTGTCAAACTATTTTTTAGCCCTGGTTATTCTGTCAGTATCTTCAAAAATGATCAGCTTTAACTGGGACTAATTTTAGTCTTTTTAGCATGGTGTCTCTGTGAGCTTGGATGTCTCAGGATTTAGCTCAGGCTCTCCAGGAAGAATATTCCAGCAGTCAAGGCAGATACTGTGTGATCTATTCAGACTTCACTCTGGAAGTCGGAACCAGCTTTGCCAATAATCTTTTCATGAAAGCTACCTAGATTCATCAAGGGGTGTGATGGACATTACAACTTTTGATGAAAATGACAATTTGGATTTTAAAAATCATATTTGTCTTAAACTGTGTCTAATATGAAATTTAATTAAGTTGCTGATTATGGAGGTTAGATTTGAATTAATTACTTATATTTGCTCTTATTTTCAATATCAGTGTTACAAGTTTCTATTTAAATATGTTTAAATTTAAATATTTAGATATTATAATGACTCTAAAACATTAATTTTATGTTAACATAAATTCACAAAATGCATGTAATTACACACACATGTTTACACCTGTTTACAGGTGGAAATTCCAAGAAAAGTCCATAAAGTATTTCTCCTTTTTTCAAGTGAAGAAATAACAGGCTGTGAAATCATGACCCTTTCACTAGACTTCCGCCATGTCTTCTTTTGAGATTAAAGTCTGAACCAGCTCTAAATACCTAGGTTCTATTTTTGCAGTACATGAATTGAAATTGTGTGTGTGTGTGTGTGTGTGTGTGTGTGTGTGTGTGTGTGTGTGTTTATTTGTGTTTGAGTGCATGCATGCTGTCATGCATACCTAAAGGTCAGAGGACAATCCAGAGTTGATTCTCCATTTCCACCATGAGTTCTGGGGATCAGACTCAGGATGCCATCCTTACAGTGGAAGCTTTTTTTTTACCTGCTGAGCCATCTTGCCAACCTCTGATAATTTTTTTTTAATTAATGCTTCATTGAAATAGAAGGTACCACAAAACTTTTTAAATGAGGTCTTTATTAGATATTTCATGGTGTTTTCTTTTAGTCATAAGAAAACAGTAGTCAAGAGGAGGAAGAAGTGTGTTTTAAAAGTAACTATAGGAAATACACCAAGTAGCATTTAATGTTAATTTTAATTGTGATAAATCTTGCCCTTTGTTTATTTTTTAGTTTTTTATTTTTATTTTTTTCAGGTAAGCTTTTGGGTTGTTAGAGAAATTCTCCACGCTCAGACATTGAAAATAAGAGCAGAAGTTCTGAGCCACTATATTAAAACTGCTAAGGTAAGCATGGCGTGTCTTTTGGTCACCCATTTGGAAGTTTTAAGTGACTGTTTATTGATTCTAGAAAATGAGGGGGGTTGAGTACACTGAATGCCTCTTTTCTCTGCCTTTTCCTTTATTCATGGTCACTCTCATTGTTATAGACAGGTTAGTGTATGGTAAATTACAGTACTTGTGAAATAGTAGACTATGTTGAAGGTGATGAAGAAAGCCATGTAAGATTAAGTTGGAGAATACATAGTGATTTTCTATTAGTTTTTTTGTTTTGCTTGTTTGTTTTTATTTATTTTTAATCATGAAATAAGCTGCCCACCTATGCAGAAAATAAGACTTTGCAGGCTAGAGAGATGGCTCTGTGGGTAAGAGCACTTGCTCTTCTTCCAGAGGACCCAGGTTCACTTCTAGCACCTTGGTGACCTGATGCCTCCTCCTGACTTTCATGGGCACCAGGCACTTGAGTGGTACAGTCACATAATAAAATGAAAACACATAAATCCTAAGAAAAGGCTTTATTTTTGAGACAGTTTTGCAGTAGACCATGCTGACCTTGAACTCACCTCCCCTACCTCTTACTCCTAAGCACTAAGATTATAGGTGTGAGCTGCCATGCCCTCCTGGACTTTAGTTTAAATGAATAGTAGATATAATGTTACCAAGTGCTCTGAAAAGTTCCCGAGAGGCAGAGATAATAATACAGTTGGAGAAGCAGCATGGATTTCAAGGGTGGTTGGAGTTCTGGAGAGAGCAGTAGGTTTTCCACAGAAAGAAAGATACTGAGATGAGCCTGTAACAGCTCCAGATTTATGTTAACTTTGCTAAGTGCCATGGTACATCCATGTTCATTCTTCATAATTCACAGAATAAACAGGTTTTATCTCACCTGTGAATTGAAAGATGGTGGAATAAAATAGGGGTGTTCTGCTCATTTTTTAAATTGGGATTCTTCCTGTATTTTTCCTGAACACATGGAAACAATCCTATTCTAACATTCTGTGTCACTAGGTGGCAGGACTAGCCTTCCACATACGTGAGATTTTACAGAAATATTACAGGAATTTTTAAAAAACATTCTGTGTGAAAAGTCAGGTAAGTACTAGTTTTTAACTAAAAAAGTTATAACTTTTCTCATAGTTTCTGAATTTCTATTTTTCTGATGTCTTTGGTAGATTTTTTAAAATTTGTATTTTTTATCCATACAGTTTACATTTTTCTTACCAAGTAATTTAATTTCTGTCCACACTCCAACTTATATTTGACAGCTTTTGATTTTATTACAAGCCCCAATTCCCCATTGTTTCTCTTACTACTGTTAAGTCACAATTCTGATGCTCTGCCTTTTGTATCTAGCTTATTGGTCTTTCCCTTTAATACCTGTTTCAGGCAGTATTCTTTAGAGAAGCACAACCACCAGCATTCTGTATAAACACGTAGAAAGATTCAAATACAAAATATGTGACAAGATATAGGACACTGACTCACATTAGTGATGAAGCTTGCAGTCCGAAAATATTAGGACATGCCCATAAGCCGCAGCAGACTCAGGAAGGAGTGGAGGTGGAAGTTCAAATTTTTCTTTCCTTTTAGGTCCTCTGCATGTTTTAGCATATATCAAATTTAAGGTGATATTTAGTCCCAAATAAACATTTAATGTACACTCATTTAATGACTGGATTGTATAATCTCCTGTGAAGGTTTATATCCTGTTTCATGTTTACTGTTTTGTTATTTGCTTCCTTTGGATTGTGCATTAAATGTCCACCATAGGGCTTATCTGATTGCTTGGGACAACTGTAAATGACTTATTTTTAGATCCCACTTTTAAGGCAGAAGTATGACAAAATTCTGAGAAATTAGCAGCAAATGCAAAGTGGATTTCTTGGGAAATTAATGGACCTTCCTGTTTGGTGTGTGCATACTGTATGAGTAGCACCCCAGAATGGATTAGAAACAAAGGATTTAGGCTCTTGGACATGAGAAGATAGGGTTTGGAAGGGAGCACTGAAGACAGTGAGTTTGAACTCTTGCCCTGGGATAGCAGGAACACTGGGCAGGAAACCAACCTACGGAGACCCTTTTTTGACTTTACCACAAACAACCAGTAAGACTGCAAAGGATGCAGCTGCTTCCAGAGCCAGGGCATGGCCCTTGTGGACATGCCAGTCAACCTTGACACCAACCCGTAACCTCAGCTTTGAAAGTATATTGCCCATTTAGAGCTGGATTTAGAGGTTGGGTTGAAAATGCCAAGGTAGAACATGGACAATATATTGTGGGCAAAAAATAATTTTCTGTATTCTCTAGCAGACAGTTTTCAACAATGACATTAATAAATACTGGTATTCTACCAACTGCCTAAATTGAGTCAATCTGTATTTTCCTACATTTATTTTCTTTTAAAAAAATACTTCTCCCCCTTTTTCTTAAATCTTCAGAAACTGTATGAGCTTAATAACCTTCATGCACTTATGGCTGTGGTTTCCGGCTTACAGAGTGCACCGATTTTCAGGTTAACTAAGACATGGGCGGTGAGTAACCCTCTGTAGTTTAATGAATCATTAGACTTCTGTGCAAAGTAAAGATTTTATTAGGTTCTTTTGTCAGTCTTAGTAGGATGAATATTATGGTAATAGAGTCTTAAATGTCCTGCACTTTGTTATTCGAAACCTACATTTAAGACTCCGTAAGCATTGCACTGAGCTTATGAGGTAATTTGTGGGTAGACTGAGGCCGATGCTTGGGTTTTGCACTTGAATCGTTTTGAATACCTCTTAAGGGTATCTGATGACATCCCGTGTCATACTCTCCTGATAATTTGCATTTAGTAGTGTACATTTTTACACTTTTGGTAAGTTTGAAGAGCTGAATCGCAACCTTTAAAAATGTTCATTAATTTCAGCTTCTATTATTTTTAGCCATAAACCTTAAGAGCTGTAGAAAAGTCTCGTGGGAAACATGGCATTATGTGATACTGCTCATGTTCTGTTGTAACAGTCATCATATTGGGCCCTGTTACTTTAACAAGATTAGGATGTGAATTTTGGCATTTGCCAGTGTTTATACCTTTATCTCTGAGTAGCGTGATACCATGCTCAGTCTTTCTAGGTTGTCTTACTTCTTTCCCTTTTCTTTTTCTACGCTAAGGCCTCTCACAAGCACTGTGTCACTGAGCTACTTCCCCAGACTACTTTTTATTGTTTTTACTTTTTGAGTCAATGTCTTGTCACTCAGGATGGCCTTGGGGTCTTCCTGCCTTACCTATCAAGTAGCTGGAGATATAAGCCTGTCATACAGGCCTCTGTTCAGGGGTAGGAGTGTGTATGTCTGTATCTGTGGGTGTCTATTACTACATTTAGCAAAAGATTATAAAAAATGCTAAAGTATTATTGTGTGTGTGCACATGCTCCTTTGCTTACGTTCATGTGTTAATGCATGTGTATTCAGAAACAGGACAGCTTCAGTGCCGTTCCTCAGAAGCTATCTGCCTTCTTTTTTTGAGGCAGAAACTTTCATTGGCCTGGAGCTCACCAATTAGGCTGTGCAGGCTGCCTGATGCTCCAGGGATTCCTTTGTCTCCACCCCCACCCCCAGGACTGGGATTTGTTCTCAACAAGCACTTTACTAAAGGGGTTTCCTCCCTCGGCCCTCACTTTGTTCATAGTGAATCAAGAAAATGCTGCCCTTGCTTTTCCTGGTGTATATATGAGGGATAGGTTTAGATGAAAATTGTAGCGCTTCTATATTGGAAAATTATTAGTGTGGAAGAACTTGTAATATTTATTTTTATGTTATAAATACCACATGAAGGATTTTCCTATTTTAAAAATGCATTTTAATTATGATGGTCTCACTCTTTAAAGTCTTAATTTTATGGAGGGGGCTGGAAATGACCATAAGTACACAGTTAAGAGTTCTGTCTTTAAAATTCCAGGGAAAGGCATTATACTTTGATTATGTTGTGATTTAGAAGTGAGATATACTTCCTTCAAATTGTTATCTTACTTGAAAATATTTTTGTTTACCCTACCTAGTTCTGTGAAAACAAGGGTTTTTTTTTTTGGTAACAGTTTACTAGTCTATAATAAACTTAATAAACTTAAAAAATTTCATTTCAGTGATTGATAAAGATCCCATCCTTACACATGTGATAGTCTACTGGAGAAAGATAATATGTAATAAATAAATTATATAGTAACAAACATGAGAAGAAAAATGTGAAAAGGAAAATACGGCAGTATTATTTTTTAGCAATATGAGAAGTGGGTGTTTTATAGACACATAGAGGGTGTATCTGGATACAAATGCCAGGGAATTGGTGAATTGGGTGGTGGGAGTCTATAAAGTCTCCTCTGGCTGCCTTGATTTCTTTAGAAACAAAGTTTTTAGTTGAGAATTTTGAAAGAAAGCTTTGAAACTTTGAAGAAGGAAGGACAGACATGTTATCCAGGAGATTGTCTAAGGAGGCATGAAAGGTCCCTGGGCTTTATAAAGAATATTTTTGGTCATGAATTTTAAGTAAAAGCAACCAACAATTCCATGCTTGCTAGGCTCCGGCTCAGTGTAAGTGTGGTATGCTGGCAAGAGCTGCAGTTAACCAGGTGAGGTTTCTGGTCACATTTGTACTAGAGAGCTCTAGAGCAGTACGAGAGGGAGTTGTCTTTTCAGAGTTCAGGAAACTAAGCCAGCAAATGATAAGTGAGAAATGAGAAATGGTGAAAAGGAAGTAAAACGTGGCAGGGGCCATAGAGCCCAGTGAAGTGCGTGCTGCACAGTTGACGACGACAGAGCAGTGACTGGAAATGGCGGAGGTGCAGTAACTGGAAGAGAAGTCAAGAAAAGAGGCTGGTGAATGTTACCACGCACATAGAATGTAAGCAGTGAGACTCATGGTACAGGAAGCGGTGGTTTGTGCGGCCTTTTTTCCAGCTTCTAAAATCTTAAAGACATGAGGAGGTTACTTGTAGGCTGTAAATGACAGTTACATAAAGTGTGATTTCTGACATAGTAACACTGTTACTCGGTGTTCTTCTGTCTAACGTAGTAGCCATGGGTGCTATATTCCCAGCCGCTCGCTTCCTCTGGCCAAGGCCTGTGTCTCACAGGTTCCACAACCTCCCCAAGTAGTACCACTTGCTGGAGACCAGGTGTTCAAACAAATTAGCCCATGACGGGGACATTTCAGACTTTAACCTATAACATGTTTTAGATTTTCAATGTCTCCTAAAGAAGCATGTAGTAGAGGTCTTTTAGGAAGTAGCGGGACCTTCTAGTGACTGGGAGTTACGTCACTGTGTGTAGTCTCTCATGTACTACTCATCTCTAGGCTACCATGGTGAGGGAGTGGACAAGAAAAGGAATTCTCCTTACCAGTGGTGGGGATGAAAATGGTGCAGCCATAATAGAAAATAGAATAGAAATTCAAATTTTCAGAAAATCTAAAATAGAGTCATAAGATGACCCAGCAGTTTATCTAAGTCTATTTCCAAAGGAGCTGACATGCAAAGGTTAAAGATCTGTCTGTTTTTTCCATGTTATAAATTGTTCATCATCATCATCATCATCATGCAGTATAGGCTGCATTTGCATCAACATAGATGAACTTGAAGACTCTAAGCCAAAGACAGAAATACTGACTCTGACATGTACATTCAAAGTTGAATTTGTAGAAGTAGAGAGTAGAGTGAGCATTTTTCAAAGTAAGGGTAACTGGAAAAGGTTTGTATTTCAGTGGGTAGACACAAAGTTTAATTTTACAGAATAAATTTGAGATATAAGGTACAAGCATAGTAACTGTAGGTAATAATTTTATGTACTTAGAACTTGCTAAGAAAATCCATCCAAAATGTTCTATTAGCTTTGGACCATATAATACATATATATGTATGTATGTACGTGTGTGTGTGTGTATGCATTATAGATACCTTAAATACATGACATCTTAGCATTTATGCACCAGTACCACTGGGGTAAAGATCAGCTATAAAATTTATAAGAAAATGCTAGGTTTAAGAAGGCAGAATATACCTTAGGAGAAAGTGGGGTTTGAAGACATTAGCCTTTGCCTGTTGTATAGTACGGCAGCATAACAACAGATATATGTGTATATGTGTGACTATATCAAACTGAATAAAACCCAGAAATAGATCTTTGCTTTGGATCCCTGACATAGGACAAGGAAAATATTTTAAATTGGTGTGTTAGTTAGGGTTTCTGTTATTTAATAAAACACCATGACCGTAAGTAACTTGGGGAGGAAAGGGTTTGTTTCATCTTAGAGCTCTCAGATCACACTCCATTACTGGGGGAAGGCAGGGCAGAAAGCCAAAGCAGGAACCTGGGGGCAGGCACTGGTGCGAGGCCGTGAAGAAATGCTGCTGCTGATTTACTCGGCTTGTTTTCCTAACAACTGAGGACTGCCTGCCGCATCCCACCGCACCCACTGAGAGCTAGGTCTACCCACATCAGTCATTAATCAAGAAAATGTACCACAGACCAGAAAAGACTAGTGGGTTAGATGTCAGACTGTTCCATTATCAGACCAGTCTTTGAGACCCCGAGAAACAGAAGCATACATCTGTGTAAATAAGACGGAGAGCACTGGTACAGTCTCCACTTGCTAACCCTGTGACTGAAGCTCCTTCTCTGTCATCTGTAATAAAACACACAAACTTTCTTGTTAACCTTATAGCAGAATTAGATGGCAGTTGTGTAAGTGAAATGTTTGCATACTATACAAAGAGCCAGTATTTTAACATGTAATAAACTCAAGCCTTAACTGTGTTGTGACAAAATTGTAACTTCAGAGGTTTTAAACCATAGTCTTTGGAATGCTAACAGACCAAAACAAACCTCCGGGAGCTTTCAGTTAGCACTGTAAGTACTAAATCGCTGTCTTTGGCCATCCCTGGTTATTTGTAGTAATCTCCACAGCATGTACTGCAAACTATCTCTGGATCTGTCAAGAAAAGTTGTTAATCACTTACAGTTGAGTATTTCTTGGTGGTTATGAAGAAATGGTTTTTAAGGAAGCAGTCAAATTTTTGGGTATTTGAAATGAATGTATTCACGTAGTTATTTTAAGTTAGAAAAAATAAAAAATTACTTACATAAAGTAGTAAGATAAAGTGTTATGGTTTACCTCTTAGTAGGAATAGGTTCATTTATGTGCATATAAAGGTGATTTTATAAATACTCTGTCATTAATGCACGTGCCTGATTTTGTTTTATTTATATCTTACCAAAATAAAATTAAGAAAAGTATAACTTTGAAATTAAGATCCAGATTTGTGCTAAATACAGCTTCCATTCAGTTCTTTGCAAAAATAAGATGAAACTTGTAAATAACTTAGGCTTTTCTGTTTGTTTTTTAGTTATTAAGTCGAAAAGACAAAACTACCTTTGAAAAATTAGAATATGTAATGAGTAAAGAAGACAACTACAAAAGGCTCAGAGACTACATAAGCAGCTTAAAGATGACGCCCTGCATCCCTTACCTAGGTGAGTTACGTCCCTGTGTGCTCCTCATCCTGGACTTGCTCTTCCTGAGTCATTTTTATGATTTAAGTGCATGTGTAAGATTTCTAAGCTGAAAAATATCGGGTAAAGGAATGTTTACCTTATTACCTGAAATGCTTTTCATCTTTAATTAGCCCTTTGTTCTCGGGTTTTCCATAGAGTGTAACATTAACTTAGAAATGGGCCATGGTAAATGATGTGTTTTAGCTGTTTAGCAATGCTTTTTTTTGTTTGTTTGTTTTCCAGACAGGGTTTCTCTGTAGCTTTGGAGCCTGTCTTAGAACTAGCTCTTGTAGACCAGGCTGGCCTCGAACTCAGAGATCCACCTGCCTCTTGAGTGCTGGGATTAAAGGTGTGCCACCACCACCCAGCAGTAATGCTTTTAATGACTGAAAAAAAAAAAAACTTGTAGTGATTTTTAATATTCTAATTGAAGACAGTGACCCAAGCTCTTATGTAATGAACAGTTGGTGTGAATTCTAGAGTGGTTTCATTTAATTATCAGTATTGCTGTTTGCCTATAATTTAATTGTTTAAGTGTGGAAGTTAAGGCTAGTGCATGACAGTTTTGTATTTTATCATTTGGTTAAGTACTTAGATCTTTATATAAAATATCTTACAGTATTAGTTAGTTCCTGCGACGCGCATCCTGACCAGCAGGAATGAACGCCACTAAAAACGAGAATTCCTTCCCTGGTCACGTCTTTATTCGGAGCCCTTTGATTGAGGAAAATTGGGGGAAGGGAAGATAGAGCAGGGACGAGAGAAAGCTTAGAGAGAGGAAGTTGGGCCCAGAGGCAGCTGCTTTTAAACGGTGGAGAGGCTTGAACACTATCCTGATTGGTTAATGCCATTCTGCTGGTCTGAGCATGTGCAAGCAAGGGTGCAGGCAAGGGTGCTCAGCCCCACGTGTCTAAGCCAGGTATACCTCCAAACTGCAGGACCACCTGTGCCTCCAGGTGGCTCCCAACAAGTTCCAAAAGCTGTTTAATAACTTTATAGATGTTTTTCAACAAAATATGAATAATGTTTTGTTGACTGTCGAGTTTTTAAAGGCCCTGAATAAGCCATCCTTCTAAATTTATATGTAAATTAAAGATACAAGAAGTGCTGTAGGTGATACATATCTGAGGTCATCAAAGCGAGTTGGTTTGACTCTGTAGAAATTGATCGTGGATCAGCATTTGTTTCTCATCTTCCTGCCCATCTGCTCCCTACCATTTAAGTGGCTGTCTTAGTAGACTTAAAGAGAGCAGTTTCTAAGAATCATTACACGTGTGCTGTTTGTTTCAGATATTTCAGTGTCACCTTTGAAGTTATTGTATTATTAGTGACTAAAAGGCAAACTCAAAGGCTGGTTCGTACACCTCCTCTGTTGTGGAGTGCATCAGTCTTAGTTCACAGAGAAAACTAGGGCTCCTGCGGTGAGACACATTCACACCCTGTTGAAGGCGTAGTAACCTAAAGTGTGGTGTAGGTAATGTCGGTCTGTCTGTCTTCTTTCCCTCCTTCCTTTCTCTCTCTCTCTCTCTCTCTCTCTCTCTCTCTCTCTCGATTGTAGCTTAGCTGTGCTCATATTTAGAAATGTAATTTGGGGAACTATTGTCCTTGTGTTCTCTAAAAACACAAATAAGCCTTTTGTTGTATAGGCTCATTGACCAAGAATTGGTGATTCTTGATTCTAAAAGGGCTTTTCAGTGCTTAGCTTTCAATCAATTTATTTCAGTCTTTTATGCTTAGATTTTAATCTATTTCCTTTTGAGTCAAGTGATGTCCTTACTCCACCTACTTCAAAATTGAGAACCAAGCATGTAGAGATGGAAATCTGACTTTCAGTACTCCAAGAGCTCAGTTATAATATAACCACAGTCTAATGGCTCTATCTAGTGCGCTCCAATCATAGCTGCTAAACTCTCTAACTCAAAATTTCCCAATTCTATGACTACCTTCTCACTTAATTGCTTTTTTATATTAAATGCCATAATTTGTTATCTTCTTAAGAAAGTTAATTTTTTAATTAAGAATGAGAAAATGAGAAATGAATTCTAATGCTACGATCTCTAGTTCAGGGATCTTTGTTGTACATTGTTTCATAGAGGAAACTTGGTGCAGAAGTTTAAGCTGTGTGTGTACATATGCATTTGTGTGTGCACAGAGCCGTGTATGTTTATGAGCCTCTGTGTAGGTACAGAGAAGAAGGGAAGTGTTGAGAAGAATCTGCAAAGGTTTTCTGTTGGTTACTGCCCGTTCTCTCCTAGCCTTGGAGCCTGAAGCAGACAAGGCAAAACTCTTGTGCAAGATGTTAACTTGTAGAAAATACCAGAACCATCATCTTTACTGTACATTCTAGTTGGTCTCCAATGACCCAGGCTCCCTTTCTTTTTATGTTCTTGTGTCTTGGAGTCTTACTTTTCACTGTCACCATTTACTTAGGAAAAAGAGCCCTGTTGTCACTTCCGTTGCTTAGCACACTGTCATCTCCCCCTTCACCTACTTGGCAGTGTCCCCTGCTTATGTCCCATGAATGTCCCATGCTTGTGTCCCATGCAGTGTCCCATGCAGTGTCTCATGCTTAAATCCCATGCAATGTCCCATGCTTGTGTTCCGTTCAGTTTTCCATGCAGTGTCCCATGCAATGTCTCGTGCTTATGTCCTATGCAGTGTTCCATGCAATGTCTCGTGCTTATGTCCTATGCAGTGTCTCATGCAATGTCCCATTCTTTTGTGTACTTCTCAGACATCATCTTAGTTTTTTTGTGATTAAGGTGCTAGTTACTCTGTTCTTGGCAATTGACTCTCTTGGCTCACTCCCTAAACTTCTGGGTTTTGTTTCATTGGCTGCTCTTTCTTTTAAATATGTAGTCATAAATATGTCTGCCCACTTTTTTTTGCACTATACTCTGAATATAGTGGAGTGATCTTACTCAGGTTTGACATACAGTATTTAATAACCTCAGTTCTGGGCTGGGCCTGTATGTCTGTCTACTTAATTTTTATAAACTGAAATATCAAATCAATTGACTTGAGATATTTATTGACTTCTAGTTGAACATGTGCTTACATGATCTCTTTCCCCTTCCTACAGATCTGATCCCTATCTCATCTTCTATTTTAGTTCATCGCTAATCTTATCTGTATCCCCTTATATACCTTGGAACGTTATAAAAGTCAGCACTTGAGTAGATATTTTGTTTTGTTGAGACTGTCTCTGGCTGTCCTGGAACCCACAGAGATCTCTCTCTGCCTCTACTTGATATTAAAGGTGTACACCATTATACCTGGCTAGAAGATAAGTGTTTATTCAACTGATTGCACTGTCCCTTTCTGGCTTTCCCCATTTTTAGCAGTGTTGTTTACTTCTATTTGAATATAATAGTGTACATGTATATAATATTCACATGATTCAGCTTTACAGCCTGCAGTTTTCTTTCAGTGTCTCAGCTGACACCAGCCTTACTTAGCCTTGTGCTTGGTGCTAGATGCATAATAAGGAATAAGATGAACTTTGTTCCTCCCTTGTGGATTTAATAGGGCTTGAATACAAACCTGTGGCTCGTGGCATTTTATCTCCTCCCCCTCCTCTGTTTATCATGTAATGTAGGAAAATGAGATGCATGTGTCTAACAATTAAAAGTGAAAAGGAACTTGGATATTGTGATACATGCATGTAATCTCAGCAGTTGGGAGGTGGAGACAGGAGGATCATGAGTTTGAAGCTAGTTTGGGTTATAGATTAAAGTCTGCCTATAAAAAAAATAAGGAATTGGGTATTGGCAAAGAGTTTAAGATGATTCTGTTGAGACCATATATTTCAACAGCTACGTTGTTTTGGTTTTTTTGGTTTTTAATGTGTTGGTAGTCCTCATATGGTTCATACTTACTCTGTTCTGGGAAGAACATCTATTCTAGAATGAAAAGATATGGACCATTTGGATAAATACTTGGTAGACTTGACAAATTAAATTAGCCACATAATTAATTATGACTTGGTTTAGTTTCCAGCTTTAACATTGTCCTTTTCCTGAACTGAAAGTTTTGTTTAGCAGCAACCCTTTTGAGTAAACTTAATCTGTTAAAGCATGTGTGCTTTTCTTTTTAAGTTTATTTGTGTGTGTACACTTGGGCTTGAGTTTATATGCATATGTGTATGTAATGGTGTCATATCCCTTGGGGCTAGAGTTACAGACATTTTTGGATGCCCAACTTGTCATATAGATGCTGACGTTCAAATTTCCATCCTCAGAATTGCATAGCAAACACTTGCTCCGCCTTAACCACTGAGCCACCTCTCCAACCTTTATTCTGGATTTCCCTTAAGAAAATATAATATGACCCTCAGATGACTTATTGACTACTTAGTTAGCATTATAAACAAATGGGTCATTTTTTTCATTTCTGATACTTATTATTGAAATATGTTGAAGAAGGAAGATTTGTTGCTAATTTACATCCTATCCTGTTTTTTTTCATATTTTATTTTCATTTAAGATTAATTAGGTCTTGAGTTTTTAGAATTTAACTTTCCTTGATTTTAGAATCCTTTTCTGTTCATGTGAAACTAGAAGAGTTTCTAAAACCACGAGCTCTTATAAGACATTGTGCTTTTAATGACAAGACACTGTACATTTGATGACAAGACACTGCATTTGATGACAAGACACTGCATTTGATGACAAGACACTGCATTTGATGACAAGATACTGCATTTGATGACAGGACACTGAGCATTTGATGGACAACTCAGCTGAAGATGTTTCAAAACTAACACTTTTCATACTATTTCCTTTCTCCCTTTTGTCTGTAGATGTTCTCAGAGAAAGGATGTTATCAGCCGAAGGATCTGTAGTGCATAGAAAATGGGTAACCTTTCATAACTGAGAGGTTCTAAACTGATAGTGTTTTCAGTGCTGAAAGTAATCGTCAAGGGCTGTCTGTGGCCCAGCAGACATAGTCCTGTCACACGGTCCTGACAGCCAGCTCAC